CCCCCCCCCACTTCAGGGTGGACAACTTGGAGGAGCTGGACTCTGGACAATCACTGCTTTGCCCGAAAGGGGGCTCCCAAGGCCAGGGGGTCAGGAATGAATTTCATATCTATTATTACAACAGCGAGGCTGCATTTGGGGAAACTGAAGCTCAGAGCAGCCCTGCAAGGAATTCATTCCAGGCTCAGTCGAGATGGGGAATGGCGCACACTGACATTTGTTGAGTGCTTAAGCCCTGTCAGGCATTATGCACTTAACCCTATCATCCCCATTGTCCCAATGGGCAACAGCTCGGAAAGGTCAGAAATGTGTCCAAGGCAACACAGGGAGTGAGCGGCAAACCTGGAACTCAAACCCAGGATTTGTATCAAGTTCCCTTAATAAAGGGAAAAACCCCTGCCTTCTACCCCAAAAAGTTCCTCCCCCCCTTGCCCTTTGGCAGCAACTGATGCCTTTGGGACATGATAACACTTTCACCTCAGTTGGGGCCATCAGTTAAATATCCAAACCCCGCCTGGGCTCCAGTAGTAAACCTGGGCACACCCCCTCCAATGTTCCCCACCCCCGTGGGAAAGCAGACCCACCCACCAAGGCCTGGCTGAATGGGCCTCTCAGAGTCCCTCAGGCGAAGCCTCAGCCTCTACTGGCCTACCCACTGTGTGGCCTCAAGTAGGTCACCAGACCTCTCTGTGCCTCCATTTCCTCTGTAAGGTGGGGATAATAGTACCACGCCTCGGGGTTGCACTGAGGGCAAAGTAGGTAAAGACCCATTAACTGCTGAGAGCAGTGGCTGGCACAGAGTAAGTGCTCAAAGCGTGCATGTTAAATAAATGTCAGTGGATGTTCCCTGGGTTCCCTGTGTCCAAGGAGCCCGTACCTGGGAAGCTCCTTATGAGTGGGAGAGACAAAGCAAGATGCTGAACACTGCCAGGTCCCTGTGGTCAGGGCAAGACAGAGGTGGAGACCCAAAGTGGCAGAAGGGGGTTAAGAGCTCTGTGGGGGGAGGGGCAGGGCAGGCTTCCCTGGAACCCAGCCAGCCTCAAAGGAGCTGCAAGGGAGTGTGTGCAAAGGCCAGGTGGCTGCAAAGAAGATGGCAAACCAGGAATGGGTGTGGGGAGTGGAGGAGGAAGTACATGTGGAGAAAGGGGGGCAAGAGGGGTCCTCAGCATCAAAGGAACCTTGAGGGTGGGGGGACAGTGGGGAGGCAGGCAGATAGGGGCCTGGCAAGGCAGGTCTAGGAGCTGTGATCACAGCATTGGTCACATGGGAAAGGGTGGGACTCCCTGGGACAGAGGGGAGGAATCCTAGGAGAGATGCCCACACCCAGGAGAAGGACACCCAGGGAAAGAGGGAAAAACCCAGTTCTGAGCAACATCTGGGTCACCTGAGAAATGACTGAAAATCCACAGGGTTTGGCAACCTGGAGGTCGCTGGGAGGGCAGCTGACATATACTTAGGGGCTGGTGCCAGGCTGCAGGAGACTGGGGGTGAGTGGAGGGGGCCCCCGAAGCGGAGTCTAGAGTGCCTATGCTCCTTCCTTGGCTAAAAAGGGCAGTAGGAGGAAAGGCCAT